GCTGCTACAATTCAGCAGATAATCTTGAATTTTGAACAGAATTCAGTGGACTTTTCTCATAGCACTCACTCTAGAGCAATGAGCTCAGTCATGAGATTTGTCTTCAGCAGTCTGAGCATGATTTCATTGTCTTGTATTTTTCCTTCAGAAGTTGTTCAGTGTGATTATTAGATATTCACCAGTGTATAATTCATTATATTTTAGTGCATAGTTAACGCTGTAGATTTTATCTCCAAGATTTTAAAATCACTGCTACTGTTGTTTTTTTCATGGTTTTCCCTGAAATACTGTATATTCTGCACAGCTCTTTATGCAAGCCTCTTTTAGCAACAACTGTTTCTCATAAACTAACATTATGTCTTTGAATATCACTCAGTTATTCTCCACCTACAGTGGGACATAATGTGCTGTCTTTTGACTGTTTTAAAAATGTAACATTGTAAGATACCCAGACACTTAAAACACGTATAAAATAAAATAAAAAAATAAATAATTAAGTGTAAGAACAATAAAATTACAAATTTTTAAACTCAAATGGGATATTTTTATTAGCTGTTCTATAAATGCACATAGTTATAAAAATAATACGTTTAGTTTCATTATAGTAACCAAATAGTATTGTCTCTGCTATGTATAACTATATATAGTTCTACAAGAATTTCACAACTGAAGCCTTTTCTAAATTGTTAAAGTATTGAAGAGATATATACATACATATATGCAATATCTACTACATATAAGATTAGCGGAGAACCTAACAATTCTAAATGATTTTAAAGGTAAAGGAAGCAGGAAGAAAGGATCCCATCTAATAACAAGAGTTATCTGAAGAAAGTATTTTTCAAGTGAATTGCAGCTTTTATCTGCTACTGTGTAGAAATGTTGAGAAACATGGATTAGAGCATGGGAGCCAACAATGGCCACAGAGAAGGATGCTTGAGACACAGTAAAAGTCTGTGGGCAATTTCTGTTGGTATGCTAAACACAAATGGCTATCCTCAAAGGTGTCTGAATTCAAGGAGGGACTAGCTCCCCAATTTACAGTGAAGAACAGACTTGTTTAACTTGTTCTTCTACAGAAAGAAGAAACAAAATAATATGAACAAACGAGATGACAGTAGCAGCAAACCTATAAAGCTGCTGCCATAGATTAAATTCAGTAAAAATGATGTCCAGGCAATAATGCATCAATAGCTTCTATTCACTTCAGGAAGTGCTTATCAGAAAACACCAGTTAGCCATCAGTGATTAAGAACAGTGCTATTTTAATAGAAATTATATCCCTATCTAGTTTGTCACTTCATCTTGAAAATATTAAAATATCTTACCGATGGACTTTTGTTTACTCTCATGGCTGCTTCCTGTCTGTTGGAGGTACTGTTGTTGTTCTGAGAGGATAATTAGATGGGTGAAGGACAATAAAACAGGAGAAGACTCAGTTAGGGAAATAGAACACTGAACAATTATGTTCCTGGTAGATTTGCTTGAACTAATGGCAACCTGTTTTGAGACTACTTAGGAGTACAACTTCTGTAGTTTTTGTTTTTCTTAACATGTAAAGAAAAGATGTATTTCAAGAGTCAACTTACTGTGCAATTCAGAGAACTGGATAATAGCAGGAAAAATGGACTCAAGGTTTCAGTGAAGCATTGGGACAGGACCTTTAAAGTGCTGCAGACTTAGAACCTGCCTACTGTTTCAGAAGGGACCTGATATACTTGGCTGTGGGGGAGCCCTGACAATTTTACTACTAACTTCACTGTGGAAGAGACATATAGTTATCTTTTTATATAAAGCAGGTTTACTATCCAGATGCTTTGCAGAACATAGGTACCGTTAATTACTGAAAGATTAATTTGATCCTTGTACTTAACCCTCTGACAAAATGAGCTTTTATATCAGCTGAGAGAGATTGGGAGAGAGCTCTCTCTTTTTAATATCACGCCTTATACAGTTCATCAGCTTTACAGATTAGAAATCTGACAGCTCTTAATGTCTCCTAGTATATTGCACTGGCTTCTCCACAGCCACAGCCACTGACAGATATGCATTAGTTTTTATAATGCTTAGGAAATAAGTGTTTAAAGTCTGCACTGCTGTTTCTCCAGCACCACATGAAGTACCAGATCCTCACAGAAACACTGCTGCAGTGCAACAGATAAGCACTGCACAGTAACAGACTGTGCTCTCCCAGAGCTCAGCGATTTGTACTGTACAACCGTGACATCTATAGCTGCATAGCTGATAAACCAGCATCAGCTCTCCAAAACACCAGCAATGTCATTCAGACATGATATGTTGTCACGCATCCCTTGTCCCCACCCCACACTTCATTTTGCAACATGCCATGTACTCTGCATATAACCAAACCTGAACAATTCTTTATTCTGTGGGTAAAAAACAATCATGGTATGACTCCCTTATTTCTTTCTTTTCCCATTTCTTAACTTGCACGAACTTGCATTAATTCAGAATTCCCTACTTTATATTGCTATCTGTAAGCCCTTGAACAGACCTGGTGATACAATGCTCAACACCAAAAAAAGGTGGCTGAAAATTTTCTTTTCAATGAAATTTAGCACAAATACGGTGACAACTTGACCACATAGTTCTCATGTGTGTGGACTTACTAGAATTTATTTTAGTTGGCATCTTAGTAGCTATATAAATTTTTTCTATCAAAGTGTTATGGTGCCCTGAGCCAAATTCTCAGGTGTGACAAGTGTTGCATGGTCTACAAAGGCACACAGTGCACTGATTAATCAAGCCCTTTGGCTTTCTATGTTTTTTCACTGTCTATCTTGCCAATTAAACACTTCTGAGGAGCCTGAAGCAATGCTTAGTATAAAATTACATTCCTTCCCAGAATGTAATTCTAAATCTGAGTAAATGAGAGGCATATTTCTGGGAAATGTTCTGTGCATAAGTTCAAAGAAATTTAAGTGTCAGTGTTAGATTTTGTTTGTTTATTTTAATTTTGAGAAAACAGCAATAGATTCAAGTGTCAGACCAATCTTTCAAAATGTTACTGGAGGCAGATGAAGGAATTCTGTCTTGCCGTGCCTTGCCTTATCTTGCTTTGCCTTACTTTACCTTTCACTTCCTTTTTCCCCTTTAAGACTGTGCCATTGCGGCTGTCACAGCCAGAGCCTTTTAAAACCTGCCATGTCCTATTGTCTGTGTCAGCAAGTCACTCCCAGCCTTTAAAGCTCCTTCCCCTTTGCTGACTTCCAAGAAGCTTTCAGGGGGTTCTCCCAGTCTAATGTGTATAATAGTGCTCAGCCCTCCGACCCTGATTTAAGTGCAGACGAAGTGAGCTGGAAGTCTCCAGGCTCTGTCATTGAATTGGTTCCTAGAGGTAAAATTTCTTATAATGTGAAAAATGCTGTGGGATAGAAGAAGCTGTAAAGAATCTTAAGGTCACCTGCTGTCTTTTAAATTCATGCTATAGTATAGAACTGCAGCCTGTGACTCTTTAGTCTACTGAAACATTTCTTTCTTTAAACCTGTTTTTATTCTTGAAAAGTTGAGTGTGATGTAGTTACAGCATGGCATGTATCAGTTTATCTCTGCCCTTCCCACATTTTCTAGTTCTTTCTATTCTGTTGAACTAATGAATTGCTTAATAAATATTGGCCACTGTAGTGCACATAAATCTGTGAAAGTATGTTAGTAGATTAACAAGCTTTCTCTGATTTTCATAAAGTTCAACAAAATACCAAAAAAGAGAATTTTCCCTCAGTATTAAAAAATTGAAGTGATCAAAAAAAATTTTTCACAATAGAGTGTTGAGAAATGTAAATTACTAATGACTATGTTTTTCCAGTGTTTGTATAGTCTCAAGTGGACAGGTACTCTGATATCATAGACCTCAACTGTTTAGTATCCTGGTTCTAATAAGAATAAAATACAGATTTTTTTAACTCCAGATTTTTTAACTTAATTAACTTTTAATTAATTATTCTTTAATCCATTTTTTGAGAGCTGTATACTTCTTTGACTGTAGGAGAGATGGCGTGCTTCCATGGAAGTGCCTGTGTGTTTCTGCCTTACCTATCTGTTCTGTGATATGTCAGAAAAAGAGTAGCCATTTTTTGTTTACAGCTTTCTTATTAAGTATGTTCAGATTCTCCAGTGTACATCCTTTTTGAGAGTGCTTCTTGAAGAAGCCAACTGATATTTTGCATATTCTTATTCCAAGAAATAACTAGGATTTTTAAACAGTGAAAATACAGACTGAAGTTACATTAGGGTGGACAGTTCAGTTTCTGTGCACAGAAAATTAAGCTGAGAAAGAATGACCAACCTATACATGAAGAACTGCGGTTCCCATTTTACAAAACAGAATGTCACCTAAGAATTGCACTACTGTAACAGTCATTTATATTTGAAAAAAATCATCTAGAGGCCTAAGACAGGAATTTGGCATCCATTACACCTTTTCATGTCATCCCATTTAATAAAATGAGAAATTCTGTCTCCAGGTGTTTGCAATGAAAGCATGTGGCAGAGGGCAATGGGTTAATACAAGAAAGAGAGGAAGATAGAAAAAAGTAACAATGAAATTATTTTGATTAGCAAAATGAGAAGCAGACATGGCCCAGCAGTGGGTAGGTGTGGTGAAGGGGCAAAGATACAGTTTAATAAGCCTTGAAAAAGACTTAGCAAATATTTATGCAAATCTTCTTAACACTGTTTATGTAAAAACAAAAAGTTCTTTTAAATCTTCTATGATTTAGTTAATCAGAATTCTTCCAAAGGAATGAAATTATCATAATTATGTCATAAATATATGTAGTGTGAAAATCACCACGTTTTGCTTATTTTTGTTTTTCTCAATTTTGTTTTACTCTTTCAGTATACTGCAGTTTCTGCATAGAGTCTTTACTGTCTTTGTACCAAAAGACTGATTTCCTGTGGTGTAAATTAGAGTTTCCTAAGACTAGGGGACATTCATTTTGTCATTTTATCCCCAGCTGTTATGTGTCTGTAAATTGCAGGTGAATCTGTCTGGAAAGTCTTCTTCTTCACTCCAAACTTCAGTCCTGAGGACTCCAATGGTTGCTATGATTCTCATGTTTGCTTCTGCCACGGAGGATTCATTACACAACATGATCCTCCGCTGCTCTTCGATCTGTCCAGAGACCCTGAAGAGAAAGTCCCTCTGACTCCAGAAACTGAGAGCCGTTTCTACGAAATTCTCAGGGTCATACACCAAGCAGTAGACAATCACACCAGATCCTTGCAGGCTGTTCCTAACCAGCTGTCATGGGACAATCTTCTCTGGAAGCCGTGGCTCCAGCTCTGCTGCTCATCTCTCTTTCAGTCTTGCTATTGTGACTATGACTCAGGAGGGAGTCCACTGGAAGTGCATTCAGGATAAACAAGCTGTAATTCACTGTCAAAACCCAGAAGAGTAGAGTGGGGGTATCTGACTTGAACCTCTGTGGTACTTGCCTTCAGAAGGTTTTGTTGTATCAGAATGAGAACTTATCTTCAAAGACACATTGCAGAAGAAAATTTCGGTCAAGAAAATGTACCAAGAAAGGGAGGGTGAGACACACCTTTTCTGCCTTTATCATACAGTATGAAGAACGTGTTGCCATCCTCAGCTACAGATGAGTAGATTGTAGGCGTTTTCTATGTGAGATAATTTTCTAGACCTTCATCTTTTTTCTTACACAGCAAAGAATTTACCTATAGTTTCTGTCAATCACAACTACTAAATGCACACTTTCCTGTCCTTTTTGCTAAGTGTTATCCACCATTAGTAGGACATAGCACTGAGTAATTAAAAATAGATAATAGTGGAGAGGTCCACCTATGACTGTCATTTGGTATCTGATAGATAGGTTAAGAGCAGACTTGCAACAGCATCTCTATCAACAAGCATCACAGATATGAAAAAATTAAGAGATTGCCAACAGTTTTACTTTGTATGTTCCAGAAAAATGTACAGAGCTATGTGGTGGAAGTCATTGGGTCCATATTAAAATGATGCTCCCCAGCATCCCCTCTGTCCTATTGTATTTTAGCAACCTTTGTTTCAAAAGGACACCACTCCATCAGTTCTGCACTTGAGTGTGTACCATAAGTGTCCATACATATATATATATATGTGCACAAACCAAATGGATAACCCACAAATCCTTCAATCCCTGATATAGGCACACCTTTATGGTTATAGCCCAACTGATAAAATAAAAGGTTGGATCCACACTTGATATTTGAGTTCCAAATACACGATACTACAAATATATCTCTCACTGTTTACCATACCTATTCTTCCATTGATGAATGTAATCACAAATAAATAAAATTTGGTCTTCCTTTAAATATCTTTGCCATCTTTTAAGATTTCAGAATAGGATCTATCATTTTCTGAAAATAAACTTGGGCTTTGGTACTTAAAGCCAAATATAACGGTCTGTGACTTCTTAGTGAGGCCTTGGGAAATCTACTGTCCTCCAGGGCTAATTTCTGTATCCATTTTTATCTGAATGTTATTCAGGCACATTTTCTTTCCACTCCACAGGCAGACAAACTATTTTCTTTGGAAGATTGTAGACGAAGAGAACATATCATCAAAATACTAAAATGATTTGATGCCTGATAATAGAAGATGACTTGCTCCTTATCAGAAAGAAACAGTTAATTCCCACATTAAAATGTATTAAAACCTGTTTGGTGCAAGAGTAATCTGTGTTGATAGTAATGCAATAGCTTCAGTCAGCCAACATTAGGGTTGTGACCTGGTTCTTGTGAGCTATTGCAGCCTGTCCTGTAAAATATATTGTGATATATGGTGTATTTCTCTTTCTGTAAAACCTAGGCTTTATTTGATTTTTCTGCTGCAGTTTCATTCCAAATTTCATTCTCCACAATATCCAGATGCCTGCCCTGGGAAATGTACGTCTTCCTTGAAGTCCTATTTTTGATGTTTCACCTTGTGTTCCTGATGGTATGTCCTCTGCGAGCTCTCTGTAGGTGACCAAGTCCTGTGTGTGCTGATAAAATTAGTCTGTTCAGGTATTTCCCTGATAACCACTCAGGACCATTTACACTGCATCAGGAAAGCTGTCAGATGGACATTCATGTGGTATAATTCCCTCTGTGCTTTACTTAATCACTGAATGTATTACATAATCTTAGGAAGAAAGATGTCTGTCATTTGAATACAAGCATTATTCTGCAGTGATAGTGGCTGCCCTCTAGGCATCATGGCAGGATCCATACATCCCAAATTTATGGTCCTCACCATGTGGCCATAGAACCCCTTGGGGCATGGTGCTGGTGCTGTTGTGCCTCCTCCCACAGCAGGTGAGCAGCCCAAGCTGTATCTGGGGTGCTGGAGCACCACGGCATGGGGGGTTGCTCTTTCCAACTCCTGCAGCTCTGCCAAGCTTACACAAAAACTTATCAAGCAAGTGTTCCCGCTGAAGCATATGGGAAAAAATATGTGGTGTGTTAGTATACAGTTCTAAATCAGACAAGGTGTTTGGTGTCATTGGATCTGTTTTGTTCCCACAGTTTCTGGGCTGTGACCTTGACTGGTATCTCAGTTTATACTCTCAAGGACCTCCACATCTACTTCTTTTCATGAGGATGGTGCTGTGTTGCTGTTATTTCTTTTATTTTCATTCTGCAGGTGCAAGAATTGTTTGTTCTGTTAGGCACAACAGTTGTTCTGTGCTGCCTGACTGAAGTCCAAAAATGGTAATTTTTTTACTGCTCTGGTTTATTCTTGCCTGAATATGACTTTTCTTTCATACCCTCCTTGGCTTTTGGTGTCATCTTTGTAATCTCCTTTCTTTAAACATCCACATCCCTCAAATATTTTCCATCTATTTCTTTGCCACTCAGTCCATCTGTTTGCTTGTCATATTAATTGTGATGGTTATTTCGCCCTAAATAAGCAGAAAATGAAAAGTGGTCTTTGTCAAAAGATTCAACTGCTAGGGCTCCTTGACTCTGCTAACCTCCTGCTTATTCAAGGTTTAGCAAGGATTAACTTCATATTATGAAATATAAGAAATTAAACCACATCCAAGACACCGTGAACAGTAAAAGCTATTTCTTGTTTGTGGCAAAAGCTTCATATTTTCCAAAACATAATTTAGTCCAACATTTAATACTTTGACTTAAGCGGTAAAATCTGAAATCCATTTTTAAAATTGTTCCTTCAGGAAAGATTCTATTAAGAATAGAGCAGTATTTTTCATACTCTGTGGTAATGCTATTTTGTTTAATGCCTAAAATAAACCTTCCCTGTATTTCAAATGTATTATACCTTTCAGTACTGTACCTTCTGTTCTGGAGATGGCACGTCAGATCGTGATAATTAAAGTAGTCTTGTTTATCTGCAAAATAAAATGTGAAAGACAGTATACTGTTTGTGTAATGGCACTGCCTGAGCTAACAAGGAAAAGGTTTGTTTTTCACAACAGGTTGTTACAGAATCACAGGATCAGAGTCTATGCCATTTTGGTAGGGACCCATGATGATCATCGAGTCCAGCTCTTGGCCCTGCACTGGATCATCCCCAACAGTCACACCATGTGCCTGAGGGTATTGTCCAAACGCTTCTTGAACTCTATCAGGCTTGGTCCTATGACCACTTCCCTGGGGAGCCTGTTCCAGTACTCAATCACACTCTGCATGAAGAACTTTTTTCTTATACTCAACCCAAACCTCCACTGATACAACTTCAGGCCAGTCCCTTGGGTTCTGTCACTGGTCACCACAGAGAACAGATCAGGGCCTGCCCCTTCTCTTCCCTTCACAAGGAAGTTGTAGACTGTGATGAGGTCTTCTCTCAGTCTCCTCTCCTCCAGGCTGATTCTTTTTTTTTCATGGGATATGCATGATTCGTAATTTATTAACAAAGAAGGCTCAAGGAAAATGTGCTGCTCTGGTACTTGAGACTGACTTTCAATCTATCATTTAATGAACATCAGTATTGTATCCTAGTGCCTGTTTGTAGGATGTGTCAGTTTAAACTGGGAGTTAAGCTTCAGAGAAAAGTGTATTCCTCTGTAGTATTGTTTTACAGTATCACATCCTGGTTTGTCACAGAGTCCCTGTACGGCCCAGAGCAAGTAATTTAACTCTGTTTTTCAGTTCCTCCACCATGCCCAAAGAAGGATAACAGTATTTCTCTAACTGTTGGGAATACTGAAAGAACAAAAACTGTTGAAGGTGCACTTTCCAGTCAATAAGGCACCTTCTCTATAAAAGGTACAATTTAAATGCTGGAAAACTATGATGTAGAAGATCTCCCTTTACGAGGAGGTATACAATATCGTTACCTTGAGGATTGCAGATGAGTTCATGCACATGTGGGATCAGGGTCTGGAGGAGAGAGAATAGATGACTAAAAAAGATACACACTGGGGATTCAGAGAAAGTTATGTCACATTTTTCTAATTATATTTATTCTCTTTTTTAGAAGTCACAGGAGACTATGTGGAATAATAAATAACGTTCCCCCCTCAGGGACTGGAAGTCACAGATTCTCAGCTCTTAAAAATAGAGATGTCCTGACTTGCCTCAATTTACTGTCAGAAGAAGAAAAAATAATAAAAAAAAGGGAAATAGAAGCCTTTGGAGATAGGTGTCAGCTCACTGAAATCCAACTGAAAGTTTGCAGAGAACTAGGTGAATATGTTCTGTATACTTCATAGCTCAGTGAGAATCATCACTTGCCAGCAATCATTTATTTCACATTGTAGTAATGTGAGATCTGGGTGTTCACATATGTGGACAATGTAAAAATTTCACATAAGATATCACCTGATATAGAAACAAATGGAAAAAGAAAGAAACTGAGTGCAAGCATAGCTACAAAAAGTCTATATTCCAATAGATGGAACAATGTTTTACTATATGTTTAATTATTTAATGGAGCCCCTGGTGGTCTAGGGGGTAAAGGCGCCGCGCTATCACCGTGGAGACCCGGGTTCGATTCCCGGTCAGGGCCACTCCCGGGCAGGTGGGGCTCGTTAGCCCTTAAAGGCAACCCACCTACGTCCTGAGGACCTCGCTGCCACCGTCCAAGCTCGCTTGGCCCCGGCAGATGAACCTTAGGATTAAAGGGTGGGCTCAGTTCCGCGCACACTGTGTCTCACCTAAAAAATCCAATGCGCAGGCTGGAAGGTGTAAAAACCTTCCCCGGATCTTCGCTCGCGAAGACTGGCCATTATTATTATTATTATTAATTATTTAATATATGTTTATGATTTAAATTATTACAATGTTTTTGACTTACATTAGGACATAATAGTTCTGTGCTTAAGACAGATCTTTTCATCTTCTCTGTCATTTCTCTTTCTTCTGGCATTGCCTGTGCATTGGAAATACACTCTGAGGAGCAAGAAGCATCCACCCTGCCCTTGTACACTACAAGCAGTGTGGGTGGGAGCAAACACTGGGAACTACCAGGAAGCAAACAGTGTCTGGGGATTATCTCGAGCTTCAGGACAGAGGCTTGCAAATTGCTGGTTCCCCTGGATCTGTCAGGGACCACAGGTGACAGCAGGAGGAGCGAGGTGGCCTCTCTGGGCAGCTGGACTTCAGTGTGTTCTGCAGCAAGTATCTTCAATGTCAGGTTGTCATGTGGAAATTAGTTGGAAGCCCTCAGGATGCAGGACCCCTTGCCTCTGAATAAATACACCAAGCAGGCTGCTCCTGAGTCATCATACAGGAGATGACAGTCTGATACTCTGGGTCTAAGACAGCAGCAGTCTCACATTTTGTTCCCTGGAAGACCAGAGGACTTGAGTCAGGCTCTAGGGACTCCCAGTTTACAGGCTGCTAAAACTGCAAATGATTCAGGGAGTCCTGGAAACAGTCTGGTAGATGATATGACTTTTTCAAAATATTTTGCTGTTCTTGGTAGCTTTTATTTGCATCAAAGCGAATAAGAGTTTGTCTAAAACTTCACCTTTGTTGTACAGCAAACAAAGGATATTGCAAATTTTTTCTTAAGACCCCCAAAAATAGCTTTAACCTGCAAGTTCAGTACTGAGACAATGAATTTGTGCAAACAAAAGGCGTGGGAATTGAAGGTTTCTTACACATATGAAAAGATGCTGAATTCCAGACTCCCACTATAGCTTGCACTATTCTGGTTGGTAAGATAAAGACTGGCTTGATTATCCACACATCTCTAATTGTACTGTTGAAGTTATGAAATATCGCAGAACTTGGAGGATGTGGATTACAGGCTTTGCAATGCTTATGCAGCATCTGCTGAATATCTAAAAACCATTCCTATTAAAGAATAGATCATGCTAGATTCCCTGTGTAGATTGATGTTAGTCTTATCTATAAAAGAA